CAGCCCATCATCATGATCGCACAGGCCAGAATTCGTCGGACCGCCGTTCGGCCCATTCAGACCGTATCCACGGTGCTGAAGCGAATGGTCCCCGACTACCGCGACGTACGTTCTCCGCTCTTCGCTCTTCGAAGAAGGCGTGTGCTCGGCAATTTTTTGAATCTCGACCTCACCGCCCCTATGTGCTTGCAGGTGAACATCAGCCAATTACTGCCGGCGGAGTCGGACCCCGACCACTCGATTGTCGTTGCCGGTTCTGCGTCAGCGCTGTCGGTGCTGCTCGCCACCCATTATTCGTTCGCCTTCATGCCGTCGTACGAGTTGCTCTCGGTACGCGCCACCACCCACCACTGCGCGACTCTTCTCTCTTTTCTTTTTTACGGTCGTTGGCTCACATTCACGACAGACGCGCGGATTGAGAGCGGCGTCGATTCGTAAGGCGTCGGGCTACGCCGCCCATGCGTCGTCCAAATCGGTGCAAAGCGCCATCGAAGACCAAATCCGCGCCGGGGTCAAGCTTGACGCAGGTCTGGCACACGACAGCCTCATGAACGGTAACCCACCCTCAGGTCTGTTCTATATAGTCTCTCCGAAGCCAAACTAACGACTGCGAGCGCCGCCGTGCCGCGTGTTCGCTCAGCTCCGAACGGCGGCAGTGACGAGAGTTGGCCGTTTACGACCTACAGCTCGTTCCTGTATCGGTCCAGCTCCATGCAGGACTGCGCCAAGGCCAGGGCACTCGCCGATTACCTTTACTGGACACAGACCAACCCCGTGGCCCGGCAGATCTCCGAGAGGTATGCCAGTGTCGCGCTGTCTCGTCTCGCCGATCCTCGTCAGTTCTAACGCACACGCACACGCACACGCACACGCAGGCAAGACTACGCGCTGCTGAATCAGTTTGCACCGTTGAGCAGACTCTTCTACGGCCTGCTGAAGAACTTCACGTGCAAGGGCAAGCCGGTCAGCGCGCTCTACAACTGTATCGACGACGGCCAGCTCTGCTCCGGCGTGGGCATGTGCTCCAATAACTCGTGCGTGTGCCCGGTGGGCAAATGCGGCACCTATTGTCAGGAGGAATGCACCACCAGCCGAACGACCGACGTCGTACCCATCATCCTCGGTACGTGCGTGCCGTGTGTGTCGTGTCGTGTCGTGTGGCGACTGACCGATTCAACCATCACGCAGGCGTGGTCATTCCCGTGTCGGTCCTCCTGCTGGTCCTCATTCTCACGGTGACGATTGTAATGGTGAAGCGGCGGAACATGGACCGCGACTGGGAGATCAGCTACGACGAGCTGGACGTACACGAGCAACTCGGGGTACGAGACGACGCACCCCGCTCACATTCTCTTCCCTGCAGCATTCGCGCCTCACTCAGCTCCGCGCTCATGCACCGCCACCGCCACCGCCAGTCGCCACTGCCACCGCCACCGCCACCGCCGCCACCGCCACCGCCGCCACCAGGTCGGGGGCTACGGCGAGGTGTACAAGGCCGTGTGGAAGGGCACCGAGGTGGCGGTGAAGGTGATCGCGTCGGGCAAGATCAATAAGGGGATGGAGAATAATTTCAAGCAGGAGGTACGACCCTGCACCACCGCCAACGCCGCTTCCTCGCCTGCCTGTTTTGGTTTTGTTTTGTTTAGTTATCTTTTTCCTCTCTTTTTTGGCGCCTTGGGCATTTCCTCACTTGACTGGCCACCCACCAGGTCCGACTAATGACGACGTTGCGGCACCCCAACGTGGTGCTCTTCATGGCCGCGTCGACCAAAGCGCCGCGAATGTGCATCGTGATGGAGTACATGTCGCTCGGTTCCCTCTATGAGGTACGACACGACGACGCCTGGCACATGTGACGCGCAGGCTGATAGTAGGGGAGATCCTCACTTACATCGCGGTGTCAACTTGCCGTGCGCGTCGCAGCTTCTGCACAACGAGCTGATTGGTAAGATCCCATTCGAGCTGAAGGCCAAGATGGCCTACCAAGGCGCCAAGGGCATGCACTTCCTCCACTCCTCCGGTACCATTTTCCTCTTCATCTCGCTAATCATCAGCATCTTCGTTACTTCTCGTCGGCCCTTTGGACTGACGCTACGCACGACACGACAGGAATTGTGCATCGGGACCTGAAGTCGCTCAATCTGCTGTTGGACTCCAAGTGGAACGTCAAGGTGTCCGACTTTGGCCTGACCAAGTTCAAGGAGGACATGGAGAAGCACCGGCCCAATCGGAGCGAGTGCGGACTCGCCGGCAGCATCCATTGGACGGCGCCCGAGCTCATCAACCAATCGCCGTGCGTCGACCTGGCCCTGGCCGACGTCTATTCGTTCGGCGTCATCCTGTGGGAGCTGCTCACCAGACAGCAGCCCTACGCCGGCATGAGGTACATCGACAACGACACGACACGACACGACACCGTACACGACCGATGACACACGCGCTCATGATTGTATGGTTGTCAGCCACGCGGCTGTAGCGGTGGCGGTGATCAGGGACGGGCTCCGGCCGCGCATGCCGGACAACGTCGAGGAGCTGTGCACGCTCGAGTACGCCGAGCTCATCGCGGCCTGCTGGCACCAGGACCCGGCCGTGCGCCCGCCGTTCATCGAGATCATGAGCAGCCTCAGCGCCATGTTCGAGTGCGGCGACAGCAGCGGCAGCCGATCGTCCGGCCAACCCTCCGACCTGTCGTCGTGCGCCGTCCAAGCCTCGTCCGGCATCTTCGACGACGATGATGACGATGCCGACGACGTCGACAATGACGACAACGATGTGTACGATGTCGACGAGCAAGATGACGACGAAGCAGGTGGCGTCAACGTCGACAGTCGCCTGCCGCAGGAGGCAGCCGTCACGAAGGCCAGGTCGCGGGTGGCGGCCGAACAGCTGCGGGTCTTGAGCGAGGGCGACTGGCCGGAGGAGGGCAAAGGGGCGACGACGACAAAGAAGAAGCAATCAAAGAGGAAAATGAAAGGGAAAGGAGAGACAATGAAGAAGAAGAACGAAAGCCAGGGAAGGGCCGCCCAGCACCTGGTGTCGCCGCCCGAGGGCCCCGACGTGACGGTCGTGTTCGCCGACATCACGCGCGCGGCCTCGCTCTGGGAATTCGACCCGGAGGGCATGCGCGATGCAACGCTCCTCTACAACGCCACGCTGCGGCGCCTGCTCCACAAGCACTCCGGCTACGAGGCGCTATCGCGCTGCCACGACAACAACAACACGGGCGAGGGCTCGTTCTGCATGGCCTTTGCCGAGACGACCGACGCGCTCGAGTGGTGCATTGCCGTACAGCGCAAGATGCTCCAGCTCGAGTGGCCCGCTGGACTGCTCGCCCACCCGGGCGCCGCCGAGGAATGGCACGGCGGGCAAGATGGGTACGTGTGACACAACACGCATGACACACGCACACGCACACGACACTCGCTGACGTTGATAAGTGCTACATAGGCTGTTGCTGTTCCGGGGCCTGCGGGTGCGGATGGGGGTGGATGTAGGCAGCCCGCGGGTGACGGTCGATCCGACGACGCACCGGGGCGCCTACGCCGGGCCGGTGGTGGATGGCGCCGCGCGGATCACAGCCCTGGCCCACGGCGGCCAGATCCTCCTAAGCAAGCCGGCCCTCAGGCGGGTGGAAGACAGCTGCCTCGCCGGCGAACGCGATCGCATCGTGAGCCTCGGCCGCTACAACATTCCTGGCATTCCCGAAGGTCGGCCGCCTGTGTGCAGTTTTGTGTGTGTGTGTGTGTGTGTGTGCGTGCGTGCGTGTGCGTGCTGTGCGCGATTACTGAAACCGATGGTTGGGTATGCAGAGCAAAAACTGTACGAGCTGACCGTGCGAGGGCTCGAGGTGCGGGTCTTTGGTGAAGTCTTCCAGGGCTGCCTGCCCCCCAAATCCAAGACGTGTCCAGACAACTATGGCGACAGCGACGATGAAGACGATGACGGAGACGAAGAGGCGCGGGGAAGCAGGGATCGGCGCGGACGGAAACGGTGCGAGCACGTCGTGTCGGAGGAGGACTGTTTCCTGACGTCGGCCAACCTGTGCCGGTGGGTGATTGAGGCCGACGACCTGCACCTCGAGGAGAAGGTGGGGATGGGCTCCTACGGCATGGTCTACCGCGCCCGGTGGAAGGGCATCAATGTGGCCGTGAAGCGGTTCGTCCGGCAGAAGCTCGACGAGCGCCTCATGCTCGAGTTCCGTGCCGAGGTCGCCCTTCTCTCCGAACTGCACCATCCCAACATCGTCCTCTTCATCGGTACACTCGCACCACACCGCACCACCGCACCACCGCACCACCGCACCACCGCACCACCGCACCACCGCACCACCGCACCACCGCACCACCGCACCACCGCACCACCGCACCACCGCACCACCGCACCACCGCACCTGGCTGATGACGGTCTGTGTGCGCAGGTGCGTGCGTGAAGAAGCCCAATCTGTGTCTGGTGACGGAGTTCGTGAAGCAGGGCAGCCTGAAGGACATCCTGCTCAACCCGACGATCAAACTGCCGTGGGAGCACAAGCTCAAGCTGCTCCACAGCGCCGCTCTGGGCATTCACTATCTCCACTCGCTTCACCCCGTCATCATTCACCGCGACCTCAAGTCCTCCAACCTGCTGGTACCGTGACCACGCTGTGCAGTTGTGCGTGCCGTGTGTGTATGTGTGTGTGTGTGTGTGTGTGTCGTGATGTGTGTGGTGGCGGTGGTGGTGCATGTGCGCGTGCGCGTGCGCTTGTATTGATAGTGGGGGGGGGCAGGTGGACGAGAACTGGAATGTGAAGGTGTCGGACTTTGGGTTCGCGCGGATCAAGGACGAGAACCAGACCATGACCCCACAGACCGGTTCGCCCTGCTGGACCTCCCCCGAGGTGCTCCTCGGCAAACGCTACGACGAGAAGGCCGACGTCTACAGGTTTCCCTCCCTCTCTCTCTCTTTCCCTTTCCGCTTCTTCTCGACTCTCACCACCGCACGCACCGCACACAACACGACACGGCGCGCACAGTTATGGAGTGGTGATGTGGGAGGTGGTGGCGCGACGACAGCCCTACTGTGGGCGCCACTTCCTGAGCGTGTCCCTCGACGTGATCGCCGGCAAGCGACCCGCGATCCCGCCCGACTGCCTGCCCGAGCTGCGCGAGCTCATCCAGCGGTGCTGGCAAGCCGAGGCCACGGGCCGGCCGGGCATGGACGAGGTGCTGATCGCCCTCGAGGCCATGATGGCCCTGGTCCAGGGTCGCGGCACGACAAACGCCAACGCGCGGTATTCGGCTGTTTTGTAAATGACATCATCCGCCACATTAAGGCTGCATTCTTGGAAATGCTCAAAGAAAATAATTTTCTCGCGCGCTTTGTTTTTCAGATTGGAATTTGGAAGCACAACAATCATCTATCGAGCGTTCATCAAGGGCGAGAGAATGAAGTACCGAGCAGCGTTGAGGAGACTGTGCATTCACTGCCGCTTCGTGTTGCGAGAGAGGAGGTTGTTTGTCGTCTGTTCCGCCAATCAGCGACACAAGCAGGGTCAGATCAAGGCCAAGAAGAGTTCCGATTAATCGCATCCATTTGGCCTAGGCGATGGGCACCTCCGTTCAATTCTGGACCGGTACCTCCCATTCCGCCCTCCCGCTTCATTGTGATGATTGAATCCTCCGGACCTCTTTTCTTCGCGCTTTTCTCGGCTTTCTTCTTCTCATCATTCTTCTCTCATGCAGAACAAGAGAGTTGATATGGTGGTTGGCTACCGCGTTGAAGTGCAATAAATTCTTGCTCCTCTCATCCCACAACCTTCACGATCGTTATGATGAACCACACGGAACTCAGATCAAAAATTGTTTATTTACGGGGGGTGTTATGTACGACTCGAACCTCTGTCCGTCTGGTGGATGGTGCTGTACAGAGGAGTATAATCACAAGGGGGGGTATGTACGAGGAAGGCAGAGAGAGAGATCGAACGCGGGCTCGCCACGTCGGTCGAGGAGAGAGAAGATCGTAGAGGAGGGATTATGTAACGTTACACGACGCCAGCCAGGCCGACTGGGCTCGGTGAGCGAAAGCCAGGCTTGGCGCCCCAAGATGAAGGTCCATTCGAAGGCCGCTCCCAGGGGCGAGCGTTGAGGTTGAACTTCGATGGCGACTTGCTGGTGTAGGTGCCGCTGCCAGCGTTCCACGCGCCAGTCGAGGCGCGAGGCGGGCTGGCATGGCCGCGTTGGACGAAGACGGCGCTGTCCGAGGCGTTCAGGTAGTCGTGCTGCTGTTGCAGCCCGTTCTTGTAGCGCATGCTGCGGTCATCGTCGGGCATGAGCAGAGATGAAGCGCCATCGACGTCCACCTCCTCGATTGACCGAACGCGGCCATGGCCGTAGCTGTTGCGCGTGCTCGACGAGGACGTGGCAGCCATGCTGCGTCTGTGGCTCGCAGCGCTCGAATCGGGCACCATCGTGTAGGAGGGCTGGTGGTAGAGCACCTCGGTTCGATGCGATTTGAGGAATTTGACTTCGACATCGCCAGGATCGACCCAGATCACGAAGGCCTCGGCAGGCATCCTGTAGGGCAGGTCGGTGATGTGGGCCTCGCGCGCGGCATGGCGCAGGACGTGATCGACGACGTGCGCGCAGTCCTCGGACAGAATCGAGCGATAGCCCTGACCTCGCCACGGCATATCCTGGTACCTGGTGCGCCCATAGCAACCGCACGACCGTCAGCGACACTTGGACTGAGCTCAAAGAGAAGAAAGAAGAAGAAGAAGGTAGTATGGTACCAGTGGTCGGTGTACTTGCGTGTGAGGGCCTCGACCAGAGCCCACTCGAAGCTTTGGAGCTGGGCCTCGCTCAGGTCGTTGACCTCCATGGTGCGCGTCAGCCACTCCACCGCTGCCCTAATCTCGTTTATCATCTTCTTCTCTTCGAGCAATTATTGCGTTCTGTGCGTTTCTGTTGCGCGTTGCGTTCTGTGGTGCGCGTGCGGTTGTCGGTTATAACTCTGTTCTGTGCTGAAGGTGGTGATGTGTGGTGGGGCGGTTTGCTGGCGGTGGTGGGTACCAACAGTTTGTCGCCGTGAGTTGGTGCGCTGCGCGGGGACGGTGAAGGTGGGTGGGTGCTGTAGTGGTGCTTGGTGGTTTCCTCCAGCTGCTGGGCTGAGTTGGTTGTCTTCTTCTTCACTCGGTTAATTTCACGCAAATTGCCGCCTTTGGCTTCCCGCTTCCCGAAATAATCCCGGAAAAACGGATCACCGCGGATCTCCCCTCTAATCGGGGCGACTTTCCGCGGAATTCGACCTCCTGGCAACCTACATTCCGCGTAGCCCTCGCAACCGAAGAATGTAAAAAGAAATAGTGAAAAGAAAAAGAGAGAAAAGTCTGGCACAACTTGAAGTCGCTGCGAGCAAGAGCGACTCGCACGAAGGCCTTCTGCGTGGTGGACAGCTTTGGCTTGGGCAGGTCATGGTGTAGTTGGCGTGCTCCCGTGAGAGCTGTTGGTTCGTTTTTCTTTTCTTTTTCCCTTCTTTCTTTGTTGTATCGCCGTTTTCGGTCTGAGTGCTTCGGCTCACACCGCACAGCGCGCACCGGCTTTTGTAGGGTATTGTGTTCAGGTGAAGTGGTAGAGTGCACGCAACACAACAAGGCCGAGGAGGCAAGACAACACAAGCAAGATGGGAGACGAACCAATAGTGATCTACGGCAATCCGGCGAGCCAGCCGTCGCGAGCAATCATGTGGTGCGCCTCCGGAGAGAGACCTCTTCCTCTTTCATCATAAAAATGCTGAATAAATGGATGTAATAATGAAGAAGTGCGCTCCGCGGCCAGGTTCTGCCACGAGAATTCGATACCGTTCGAATTCAAGATGGTCGACCTCGGCAAAGGCGAGAACAAAACAAAGGAATTCGTGGACCTCAATCCCAACAAAACCGTTCCCGTTCTCAACGATAATGGTTTCGTGCTCTACGAAAGGTCGGCCACTCCACTCAATCTTCTGAATTTACTTTTTCATTATTCAATCGCGATTTCCGATTTCTTAAGATGCTGATGTCATGCACATCGTTCCACAGTGCCGCGATCTTGTCCTACTTGGCTCGACGATTCAAGGTACAACACCTCATCCATCTCATATAGAATAACATTAACATTGAATGTACGCAGGTGAAGGACCATTGGTACCCACAGGACCCTCGTGCGCGCGGACTGGTGGACCAGTACCTCCACTGGCACCACACGTACGTGCCCTCCTCACGCCCTTCAACGTTTTTCGTTCTTTCTGTCTCTTCGTTTTCGTTCTTTCCCGCCTCACCCACACTCCTCGTCCCCCCCCCCATCAGTCACCTGCGAAAGGGCGCCGCTTCGCTCTTTTTCTACGCCATGGTACACCCTAGCTTGCTTGCTTGCTTCTCCTCCTCTCCTCTTTGCCTCCGCTGTGCTCTCTTCGCGACCTCGGGGTCGCGCACTCGGGGTGGATTTCTCAGTCTCGTCTCGTCTCGTCTTTCTTCCTCCCGGCTGAGCAGATAGCGCCGCTGTTCGACGGATCCAGGGACTTTGCCGAAGAGAAGAAGGCCGCCATCTTGGACCTGGAGACCTCGCTTCAGATCATCGACGCACGACTAGCCAACACCCAGTTCATCGCCGGTGCGTGGCATTTATTTTTGGGTGTGCAGCGTGTGCGGTGTGTGCGGTGGCAGCGTGCTGCGCACACGGCGAACGGATGAGAATCAACGTTTTGACGCGAAAAACGTGCACGTTGCAGGGGATGAGATCAGCATCGCGGACATGCAGGCGGCGACCGAGTTCACGCAGCACGTGCTGGCGAACACGTACGACTTCACGGGCTATGCCAACGTCACCCGATGGCTGGGCGTGCTGAAGGAGATGCCCGCCTACGCCAAGACCCACACACCCGTGGCCGAGCTGTTCGACCAGCTCCGAGCCTCGTCCAAGCTTCGATCTTCCTAGCGCCGCCCAGCCCCCACAATCGTCACAACCTTTTCACGCCCATCCCTGCCCCATGGCCGACTGGCTCTCGCTCGCCTGTGTCGTGTTGTTCGCTGACCGTCAGCTCGCTTCTCGGTCAAACGATACACGTCACTCTTTTTGTCGACACCAGCCAGAAAAGGAAAAAAAGAATCCAAATAAATAAAAAATAAATAAAATACAGCTCAGTAAAGGAGAGGGAGCGAGTGCACACGAGGAGATGAACGAGGACGCCGCCGAGGGGCCGATTGCCGGGAGTGGCAGCGGCACTCTTAGCATTCGCGTGCACCCCTCCAAGCTGCCCACCCAATCTTTCTCATCATCATCGCCGCCCCAATCCACCACCTCCCCATCTGCACCTTCGACATCTCCTTCCGCCGCCACTTCTGCATCTTCCACACCGAACAGCGGACGTCTGATGATCTCAGTTCTGTCCTACAACCTCAACCTGCTGCCCAAGGGTGTCAACCCGGTCGGCCATCGCTACAAATCGGCGCGATTGGCAGAATTCACGTCCAAATGCCTGGGCGAGTACGACGTGATGGCGCTGCAGGAGGTCTTCTCGACGCCCTACCTCCCCGCCGGCTTCGGCTGTCGTCAGGCCCAGATCGTGGCCCTCGCCGCACGCCACGGCTACTCGGCCGTGCGAGGCCGCCAGCCCTCCCTCGCCGACATGCTCACCCTCAATCGAGTACGTCGCTTTCTGCCCTACACTTTTCTTTTATTGATTCTTTTTCCGCATCGAATAATAATAATATTAATCATAATACCAATGATAGTAATCAATCAGATTGTAATACCAAATAAATAAATAAATATATATTAGAACGAACAAAGGTAGTATCATTAATATCAACACAAATATAAATAACAGAACTGCAACACTGACCGGCAAACGCTCTCTGTGTGCATCTGCGAGTAGACGACAGACAGCGGGTTGTTGATCCTGAGCAAGTACCCGGTGCTCAAGAGCGGCTCCTACACGTTCACCCACCGCGGTGCCCACATGGACGCGGGCGCCTCCAAGGGCGTCATCTTCGCCCTCATCAAGGTGGGCCACGCCAACGTGCTCGTCTTCAACACCCACCTCCAGGCCACCCACTCCTCGTCGCATCGCGCCGCCACGGCCGGCGGCCATGGCCGCGGTGGGGCCAACTACGAGTCGATCCGCTACCGACAGATCCTCGAGCTCAAGAACTTCATCAACAAGCAGCGTCACGTCAACGGCCGCGATGTGCCGTGGCTGCTGACGGGCGACTTCAACATCGACGCCATCTCGCGGCCGGCGGTGGCCGACGAGTACGGCTACGTGTACGACAACACGAGCATCGAGAGCGAGGAGTACAAGAAGCTGGTGAGCCTGCTCGACCCCGCCGGCCGCATGCGCGACCTCCTCAAGGAGTGCAACAACGGCGAACATCCCGCTACGCGGTACAACCATCTTTCCATCTTTTTCCTTTCATCTTCTTTTTCATCTTTTTCATCTTTCTCTACACTTCATCTCATCTAATGCACATCTTTTCATCTTTTTTTCTCTCTCCATTGAATAGACCACCACGGTTGGAGTTCCCGTCGTCGGTGGACCTGGTGTTCAAGCACAAGTACCCGCAGCGGCTGGACTACATCTTCTGGTCGAGTCCCGAGGGCGAGACCGCGCTCACCGTCCCCAAGTCGCGCCTGGACCACACCAAGGTGGTGCCGTTCGTGGTCACCGGCATGGAGTTCTCGCACCTCTCCGACCACTACGGCATCGAGACCACCCTCGAATACCGCGTATGTCAGTCAGACCTCGCATCGCTCCGCACAGCGTCAACTCAGCCTCTCTCATCGCGGCGCGTTACTCATCTCGTGTGGCTGGTCTTTGTCTTTGTCTTTGTCTTGTCATGTGGTTTGTGGTGGTTGCGATCGTTGTGTTGCACGCGCGAGCAGGGGATCAAGGACGACGAAGACGCCATCCTGTTCTCCACCGAGAAGGCCTTCTCCGACATCTTCAACGACAAGCAAGCACCCGCACCGTACGGCCTTCACCCTTTGCACATTTATTTATTCATTTTTTCACTACATAAATATAAATATAAATATATTAATATATTAATAGAAATATATAATAATGCTGAAAATTGCACACGACAGGAGCAAGTGGTTCACGAAGGGGTGGAAGGTGCTGGCGCTGGTGGCGGCGTCGGTGTGGATCCTGACCTGGATCTACCCGCACTGCCCGCTGGAGGTGTTCGTCCAGGTGGCCCTCTTCATGGGGGCCTACCTCGTCTACAAGCTCTACAAGCTCATCGACAAGCTCCTCCGCAAGAAGCCCTTCAAGCACGACATCGGTACCATCCATCGTCGCACGACACATGACACACGCGGCACACACACACACACACGACACACAACATTCATGGCGCACACGGCGCGCGCACGGCACGCACACACTTCTCACGATTGATTGCTTGGTGGTCGATTGATTTTTGATTGGCTGGCGGGTGCAGAGCCGGGGCAGCAGGTGATGAAGAGCATCATCGGGAAGTACGATGTGGCCAGGAAGGAGGGTCCGCTGCACCGTTCGCCCCACTCGCCCCACCGGTTGTTGGACCTTGCCGACGGTGCGTCCACGCTCTACGACAACTTCAGGTACGCCGTACACGGCGCGACACCGACACACGCGACACCACACGACACGAGGCTGAATGAATGCAACGTACGACAGCAATGCGGTGCGGCAGCACGGGTATCGGCCGTGTATGGGCACCCGCGCGCGCAACAGCGACGGTAGCCGTGGACCCTACGCGTGGCTCACCTACGACGAGGTGTGGACGCGCGTCAGCCACTTTGGCTCGGGTCTGCTCAACCTCGGCTACAAGAAGGTCCCCCTCTCTCTTCGTTTTCGCTTTCGCTCTTTCCCTTTCTTTTTTCCTCCTTTGCCCCGTCTGTCTGTCGCTGACCTGGGCGGCGATGTGCAGGGGGACCTGGTGGGCATATTTTCGGAAAATCGGGTCGAGTGGGTGGTGACGGAGCAGGCCTGCAACGCCTACTCGCTGGTGTGCGTGCCTGTCTACGACGCCGGCGACGGCTGCCTCCAATACATCCTCAACCACGCTCGCCTCACCGTCGTCATCGCTTCCCGCCCCAAAACGTTCAAGGCACGCTGTCGCACATGCACACGCACACGCTCCACCGCACACGCACGGCTGACGTCTGGTGTGCGCGCGTGCAGCTGCTGGACATGTCGGCGGCATGCCCGGACCTGCGAGTGATCATCCAGATGGAGCCCATCGAATACGAAGAGAGCTACGCGGCCGACCAATGCAACATTCGCCTCATTCCCTACAACTTCGTCGAAAAAGATGTACGCGTGTGTGTCGTGTTGCGTGTTGCGTGCTGACGTGTGCTGACGTGTGCGGCGATGCGTGTGCACACGCGCGATCACAGGGTCTTCGAAGGCCGCAGCCGCACGTGCCGCCAGAGGCGGACGATCTGGCCACGCTGGCCTACGACATGAGCACGCAGGGGAAGATCAAGGGCGTCATGCTCTCCCACCGCAATCTCCTCTCCTCCAGCCGCGCCCTCGTCTACCAGGCACGCCCCCCCCGCCTCACTCGACGGTGCCCCCGGTGCTGTCGACACATTCTCACTGACTGTGTCGTGACGTGTCGTGTCATATCGTGTCGTGTGCGTGTGCCGTCATGCGTGTGTCGTGTGCGTACGCCAACAGGGAAGGTCGAGGCTGATGCTCACATGCGAGGATGTACACATCTCCTACATTCCCCTCCACATGCGCATCGAGCGCTCCGTGCTGGCTCTCCTCTTCTCCGTCGGCGCCTCCCTGGGCTTCTCCCAAGAGGTGCGCCCCTCACCCTCGTGACGTCATTCCTCTCATTCCTCGCCCCGTGTGTGCGGCCTGCTGACACACCACACACATACAACACACACACACACACACACGACACACACACGACACACGCACACACACAACACACATCTTCTCCGGCGTCCCTGTGTGCGCACATGGCCCACCGCACACGACATACACGCATACAGGATGGATCGAAAATATTTGACGACATCCAGGTGCTGCGGCCGACGTTGCTGTTCGGGGTGCCGGGCATGTTCATTCGGCTGTACCGCAAGTGCAAGGTCATCGTCTCCTCGTGGTGGGGACCGCGCCAGGCCCTCTTTCACTACGCCTACAAGCGCAAGCAACGCGCCCACCGCAAACGTACGCACCTCTCCCCTTCTATGCACACGCACCACCGCACGCGCACCACCGCACGCTCACCACCGCACACGCACACGCACACGCACACGCGGTACTCATCATTTCAATTAATGATCGATCGCGCAGGTCGAGACACGCCGTTTTGGAACAAAGTGCTGTTTCGCAAGTTTGCCGCCCGCCTGGGTACCCCACGCGCCACCTCTACTGCGGACTCTGTGCAAACTCACCCAATTGCCCCCCCCCAACCCACTCAAATCCAATCGTGTGCAGGCGGGCGGGTGAGACTCATCAGCATCCTGAGCGACGGGTTGCTGCCCCTCGTACACAAGGAGTTCCTCCAAATGTACACTTACAGCGTCCCCCCCCTTCGACCCGCCCATACCTCTCGTGCTGATCCATTCCGTTGTGCGCGCGCGGTGTCGTGTGTGCGGTGTCGTGTGTCGTGTGTGTGTCGTGTGTGTGGTGCAGTTGCTTCTGCTGTTGGGTGACGGAGTCCTACTGGAAGGGGACGGTGGGCGTGGTGACGGGCTCCAGCATGTACTCCTTCGCCGAGGACGAGCAGGCCGGCTACCCCCTGCCCTGCAACGAAATCAAGCTCGTCGACATCCCCCAGCAGGGCTTCTCCTCTCGCGGTAACGTCGCCGCCACGCACGCACGCACGCACGCACGCACGCCACTCACACCGTGCCGTTGTGTGTGCGGTTGTGCGTGTGCGCACACAGGGACGCCGGAGCGAGGGCGCATCAAGATCCGGGGACACAACGTGTTCGTGGGGTACTACGGGGACTCCAAGCTGACGGACGCCAAGATCGACGCCGAGGGGTGGCTCACCACCAACGACATCGGGCAGTGGAACCCCAACGGCACCCTCACCGTCCTCGGCCACGAGCAGGGCATCCTCCAGCCCGTCAAGGGCCAGATCGTCTTGTACGACCCCCCCCCCGCCCAACCACCGCCACGTCAGCGCCACTCTTAACCAACACCACATATCGGAATGCGGGGAATGTCGCTGACGTAATCAAAATAATGTGTGGTATGGAATGCCACAGCAACAAGTACCTGGAGTACCTGTACCTGGAGAGCTACTTCGTGCAGCAGATCTTCGTGACGTGTCTGCCCTTCCGGCCGCTCGTGGCGGTCGTGGTGCCCGACCACGAGGTCCTCTGCTGGTGGGCCAAGGAGAACAACCTCCAGCACGACTTCCGCCCCGAGACCCTCTGCCGCGACCCGCGCGTGCGCGAGGCCGTCCTCAAGGACCTCGAGGCCGTCGCCGACCAACACAAGAGCGTACGCGCCCTGGCTGGCCTGGCTGGTTGTCAATTGACAATTGCTAACACTTTAAGGTGGCTCGTGTGTCGTGTGTGTCGCGTGTGTCGTGTGTGTCGTGTGTGCCGTGTGCCGTGTGTGATAAAAGTTGAGCGCGTGGGAGTATGTGAAGGCGGTGCATCTGGAGCCGTCGTTCTTCAACGTGGAGAACCAGTGCATCACGCCCACGTTCACCCTGCGGCGCCAGCACCTGCGCGTCCGCTTCAGCGAACAGATCATGGAAATGTACCGCGAGCTCTCCGCCGACATTCACGACGACATCGCCCACCACCACCATCACCACCATCACCTCGGGGCCAACGGCGCCGGCAGCCACAGCGCCGGCGGCGACAGCAGCAGCGGCGGCAGCGCGCGTGACGGCGACAGCGGCGACGAGAAGCCGATGCCGCCGTTGCGCAGCAGTCAGCTCACGCTGCCGACCTACACCGACACGAAGCGCACGCCCTACCTGCCCACCTACCAGTCGCTGGCCTCGGGCGGCCCGGCCCTCGACCCGCTCCGCCACGCCTCGCCCGACCGAGACCGGTCGGGCATCATGGGCAGCGACGCCGCGGCTGCGGCCGGCGTCAGTGTCGACACCAACGGCCTCGTGGGCGCCGATGGCAGCGCGCCGTCGACGCTCTCCTACTGCGTGTGCGGCGATGGCGATGCGACGACGAGCGCGATTGGCGCGCGTCCGCTGCGGTCGTCGACACACCCGCGAGGCCACCATCGCACGCCGTCGCTGACCGTCTTCTCTTCCTCTTCTTCTTCTTCATCGTCGTCTTCTTCATCTTCTGCTCAGTTGGCGCCGTCATCATCTTCATCGTCATCGTCATCGACACAGCTGCGCCGCTCGCACGCCGGGATGCCGTTGTCGCTGTCGTCGCCCTCGCTGTCGAGCCTCGACGTGGCGGGCGACGTGCGCTACTGTGCCGTGTGCCGACGGCGCCTGCGGCCGCGGTCGCTCTCCTCGTCCTACGTGACCACCCCTCCCGGCGGCTCGTCGTCTTCAACTACCGACGGCGGCGAGCGCGAGGCGGCGGACCAGTTGCTGGTGGGCGGCGTGACCGGTCTTCTGCTGCCTATCAACAGCAGCGACCGGATCGACGATGACGATGACGACGAAAGCAGCGACAACAGCGAAAGCGAAGACGAAAGCGACGACGACGTCGAGTTTGATGACAACGGCAACGCCAGCGACACCGAAGTCGTGCGCACCCTCTGTTGAAGTGAACCCAACCAACAAAGAAAAGAAAAGAAAAGAGAAATGGCACCATTCTTTCGACGAATCGTTCTCGTCGACATGATGACGTCACGACGCCGCCCATCAGAACTGGTCGGGCGAGCATTCGACGAGCGAGCCGGCGGCGACGAGTGCGATGCGGCCGGCGAAGGAGAGGGGCTCGCCGGTGAAGGCCACCAGGTTGGCCGGCCCGTTGGCGGTGATGGAGCCCACGCCCGCCTCGAGGCGGAACATGCGGGCGATGTTGGTCGTCACGCTCGCGATCGCCGCCACCTTGTCGAACGCCGGCGTCACCTCGTCCGTGAGCGACGCTCCCGCCTCCCAACGCAGGTTGCGCACATTTCCTGTTTTAACACGACCACAACGACGCACACACGCACACGCGCGCCGCACACGTTGGTGAGTGCGTTGCACACGAAAGTTTGTGTGCACAAAGTGAGTGAAGTGAGTACCGGGGTCGGACACGGCGAGACCCACGCGCACGCCCTGCGAGTTCAGGTACGCGGCGGTCTTTCGCATGGCGTGCCTGACGACACACAACGACGATGTGAGCACTGGCCGCACGCACACACGCACACACGCCGCACACGAACACGCGCGAAAAAGAAGGGCGCCTGTACCAGGTGGAGAAGGTGTTGGGCGGGCTGCGTGCGGGGTTGAGCACCACGGACACGTTGGCCGACGCCAGCTGGGCCGCGATCAGCTCGGCCTCAACGCCGCCCAGGATCACCAGCTGACCCATGACGACGACGACGACGATGCATGACGATGCATGATGATGCCGTGATGGCGTCAGCCACCAAAACAAAGAAGAAAAGAAAGAAGGGGGGAGAGAAAAATACATACATCAAAGCCAAACTCCTGCTTCAGGCGAACTGCGCTGGCCATGTCGTCGGCCTGCGTGGCGGCGATCACCACCACCAGCTCTCCCTACGCGTGTGTGTGCGGTGTGTGCGGTGGTGCGGTGTGTGTGTGTGTGTGTGTGCGGTGTGTGCGGGTGAGACGGGGAGACCACAGAAAGAAACGAAGGAGAAGAGAGGAGGAGAACGAACGCGAAGAGCGCGGGCGAAGGGATCGGTGGAGTTGACGTTGGCCTGCTGGGCGCTTGCGAAGATCGCCCTCAACTGAGACACCTGGCCCGAGATCGACGCTATTACACCGCACACACACCACCGCACACACACCACCGCACACGCACGACCGCACGACACGCGCGTCAATTATCTGGTGTTGGGAGGGTGGATGGAGAGGGGGGCACACGCACAAGTGTCGCCGCCTCCCTTGGTCGCGTCGCCCAGCGACAGGTGCAGCGCCGCCGATCCTCCATTGGTCCCGATGAGCGCCTGCCACACACAATCAGCCGTGCGTGTCGTGTTGTTGATCGTGCGCGTGTGCGTGTGCGGTTGTGTGTGTGCGGTGGTGCATACGTCGTCGATGGTGACGGCGGCGGGGGTGGTAGAGAAGGCGGCCGACAGGCCCAGCACGAGGCCCGGCCCCCAGGGGGGCGTGATGAGGGTCGTCACGCCGCCCGCCCACGCCGCCCGCAGGTGCTTCTTGTGGTACATGTTCAATCGCACCCCATCCTGTGCGTGTCGTGTCGTGTCGTGTCGTGTCGTGTCGTGTGCGGTCAGAAAGGCGAAAAATCGAGAGGGGAGGGGGGAGCGGTACCGCGGCGCGGACGTGCTGGGAGAAGGAGGGGAAGATGGCGCCGTCGGCCGAGCCGCTCTCGGAGTCGACCTCGTACAGGGCCAGCGACGTGCCCACGTTCACCAGGCCCGGCATCACCTGCGCGTGCGGTTCCACCGTCAAACACACCGCACGACACGCACGGCACGGCACATACGACACACGACACGCGCGCGCGTACCTGGCCGCCGGGCAGGCTGTAGACGTCGACGGCGCCGCCCGCGGGCACGGGGCACTCGGCCGCGGTGCCGACGCACTGGACGACGCCGTCCTGGACCACGACGTTGCCGCCGGCGATCACCCGATTGGCGGCGTCCATCGTGTACACAGTGACGTCCGTGATCGCATAGCTCGACGACGACACCTGCGCGTGCGGTGCGTGCGGTGAGTGCGGTGGCGCGTGTGCGGTCTCAGCGTCGGCGCGTCGTGCGTGTGTGCGGTCGTACGTTTTGGCAGGCGGAGGGGCCGGTGGGCTGGAGGGTGGCGTTGCCGGCGGGCGGCGGCGGGACGACGGCCGAGGCGAAGGCGCTGTTGTCGGCCGCCAGGTGGCCCTCGATGAGCACCTTGAAGGCCTGCGCGTCCACCTGCAGCGGATGCCGGTCCCAACTAACAGGCATTCCACCACATTCCACACATACCCCGCACATACCACGCATGTGTGTCAACGCGTGTCGTGTGTTGCGTGTTGCGTGTGTCGTGTCGTACATGACGAGATCGCCGTCCTTGCCGTCCTCAATGGTCCCCACGCGGTGCCCCAGTCCGATCGAATTGGCCGGATTCTAACGACACACGCCAACGCTGAGAAGATGGGGCGGGCGGGGGCGGGAGGGGGCGGGCGGGGGCGGGTGGGGGCGGGTGGGGGCGGGGTTGAGGTACGCGGGTGACGGAGGCGATGGCGGTCCAGGCGTCGAGGCCGTAGTAGTGGGCGCGTGCGGCCTCGTACATGAGCCACCGCCCGAAGATGACCGGGTGGTCGGACTTGAGCACCACGTTGACCCCGGCCTCGTGCAGCACGCGCGGGCCGTGCACGCTGCCGTCGTAGCCCTCCATCTGCGCGCGTTCCATTCACGTATGAGCCCGCGCGTGTCGCCTGCGCGTGCGGTGTGTGTCGCGTGTTGTGTGCGGTGTGTCTCGTGCGTGTGTGCCTTGAAGCCCCAGTGGTCGGCAAAGGTGGCGGCGGTGATGTTGTGTGCGGCGAGCATTTCGGGGATCTTCCAGGCCTCGAGGGCGTGATGGAACGCGTTGATCCGGAAATTGAACTCCTTCGACGTCCGCACCATCGTCGCAATGTCTGTGCGTGTCACCGCACCGCACCGCACCGCACGACACGCACCGCACACAGCACACGACACACGCAAGTGTCAGCGCGACACGAGCGGGGGTGCGTGTGTGTCTTTGGGGGGGGGCGACCCTGGGTCTCGTAGCAGTGGACGTTGAGGTTGATGTCGCCGCGGAGGAGGGCCACGAGCGGCTCCAGGTCGAGGTCGAAGGGCCGCGGCGTCACCGCCCGCTGGGCCTCCGACATACAGTCCCACTGCTCCTGCGACTGCCTCAATTGCTGTGTGTGCCGTGTGTCGTGTGTCGTGTGTGCGTGTGCGCGTGCGTGTGCGTGTGCGTGTGCGGCGGTAAGTGGACGGTTGGCGGAGGGGGGGTGGTGGTGGAGGGGTGGTGTACGGCGGCTTGGATGAGCTTTTGGCGGAGCACGAGGCCGATGCCCATGCGGCTCGAGGGAATGCGACCCTGGCCGCCGTACACGCGCTTGGGATTCTCGCCGCACGCCATCTTCAACGCGCGAGGCGCCCCCGGGATCAGCATGTCTTGGACACCGCACACGACACGACACGACACACACACGCAACACACACACACACACACGGCATGGCACACGCCCACGACACGACACGCGCGCGAAGGAAGAGGTGAGTGTCGTGCGGGTGCAAGTGTGGGGTGGTGTGGGGGTTGGTACCGTGCACGTTCTTGCTGGACTTGAGCTTGACATAGGCCGCCTCGCCGCCCATCACATTCGCGCTTCCTACGTGTGTGCGGTGGTGTGTGCGTGTGCGTGTGCGTGTGCGTGTGCGTGTGCGTGTGCGGTGGTGGTGATGGGAAGTGAGCAGGAATTGTGCACGAGGGAGGTGTGCGTTGACGGCGAGAGCGGGCGGTACCGGGCAAGACGAGGGCCGTGGTGACACCACCGCCGAGAATGAGCGGAATGGCCGGGTCCTCCGGGTCTGTTTTTCCAACGTGTGACGTCAGCCGCGAGCTTAATGCGAATCGCTGTCAAGGGTGAGGGCTCGGCGAGTACCGAGGGCGTCGAGGGCGCGCAGCTGGGGAAGCGTGGGTCCCGTCATCTCATTCCCGTCCTGCGTGGCATGCGCGTCCTCCGGGAACGAATACACGCCTGCGCACACGCACACGCACACGCACCACCGCACATGCACCACCGCACACGCACACGCACAACCGCACACGCACGTCGGTGAGTCGACGCACACACGCCTGGGGGGGGGTAAGAAGCCGGACCGAGGTGGGAGTGCATGTCGACGAGGCCGGGGGTGACGTGGCGGCCCTGGGCGTCGATGATCAGCGTGGCGCCGGCCCTGTCCAGGTTGCGCCCGATCTGGTGGATCACGCCGTTCTCGACGATGACGTCCACGCCCACCTTAATACATCAACGCGCACACTAGTGTTAGGGTGGCGGCTGACGTCACCGGCCGTAGGGGTGGGTACGAGCGGGTCTCGCGTGGAGGAGCTCATCGTCCACACAGTGCCGTTGGCGATGAACGTGCGCTGGCGCTCGGCCTTCTTGGGCGTGCTCAGCTCCTGCGCTTACGTGGCATGTGCGGCGTGTGCGGCGTGTGCGGCGTGTGTGCGGCGTGTCGTCAGCAAAGCCCGGTGGCGGGCTGAGTGAAGAAGGAAAGGGAAACGCACGGCGAGAAGCTGCGGCGAGTTGTGTGCGCCCGCGTAGAACGGGCTGTACTGCAATCCTGTTGTTGCGCGCCACGCGTGAGGCCGTGTGCGTGTGCGTGTGCGTGTGCGGTGCACCATTTCTTTGTGCGCGTGCGGCAGGTGTTGGGGAGACGACGTACGGGAGGGCGGGCAGCCCAGGAAGGGCGACGAGGGGCCGTCATCGTCGCTGGAGCCCAGGAAGGAGCCCAGGCCCGCAGCGCCGGCAATCACCGCCAGCACTGCCACGGCCACCGCGACCACCGCCCACACCTGGTGCCCATTTTAAATTAATAAAATATTAATCATTTGTAATTAAAAGATGAATAAATTAAAGAAAAGTAAAGTATTTTTGTGGGTATTTATTTGTGGGAATGAGAAATGGGGGGACGGTACGCGGGGGCGCTTCCACCAGGGGACGGGAGAGACGGAACCCGAGCCTCCGATTTCGTCGTACGATCCGAACCAATTCGACATCGGGAGTGACGGCCGCAATTCAACGCCGGAGAGAGCGAACCGAAAGATGAACGAAAGATGAAACGGAAAACGAAGATCTCTCGGCTTCCCCGTAAGAAAAAACAACCCAACAAACCCGCCAATCAGGACCCTGCCGCGAACGGAGGGCCTCACAGGCGGGCCGCGTGGGCTGCGCCATGAGGGGCGGCAGCGGCGGAGGCGGGGAAGAGGTCGCGCTGGAACGTGTTGGCGTGGATGGCCCACAGCCGGGTGGTCCCGTCCGGCAGCGTCTCCCGCAGTCGTGTGGCCGCCGATCGGCGGGAGTGGCTCGGCTCCGACGCGATGATGATGATGGGCTCCAAACGACGCGTCGCTGCGCCACCGGTGGCGAACAGCACCGTGCCCTCGAGCGCCGGATCCGTCGACTTGTGCACCCACCACACCTCCCCGTCGCCATCTAACACCTCGACACGCGTCAGCACGACACGCACACACGCACACACACGCACACACACGCACACACACGCGCGCGCGCGCGCGCACACACACACACGCACACACACACACGCACACGACGGGTGTACCGTTCTCGATGACACCGAAGCAGCTGACGAAGAGGAGGGCGGCGGAGCGCTGCTGGTGCTCGGGCAGGTTCCAGGTGTGGCCGAGGAGGTCGCCGAGGGAGGGGCTCGGGGTGGTGGAGATGCGATGGCCGATGCTGCCCTCCTCCCGCACGTACCGGTCCACCACCTGCGCAAAGTACCGCCCGCTCACCACCCACACCCCGCGCCTGGGTCTCGCCGCAGGTTCCCTGTGTCGCACACATACACACGACACACACGACACACACGACACACGCGACACACACACGACACACACGACACACCACACACGACACACGATGGAGTGATCAGAAATGGTGTGCGGCGAGGCAGTGGGTGGTGGAGCAGGGAGTACGGGTGGGCGGGAGTGGAGGGTGGGCGCTCTTCGATGAGCTCCATCGTCACCTGCTCGTGGCCTTCGTCGCGCCGAATCCAGATCTGGCCAGCCAGGTTAGGTATGTGAGCGATGAACGAACGAACGAACGATGGTGTGAGTGAGTGAGTGGTGTCCGACCTCGCGGTAATCCGAGTAGACGCCCGTTTCGATCATGGTGAGCTGGTCCACAAATCCAGCCAACCCCGTGTCTGGATCATCACTCGGCGGATGATAGTCCAACTGCCCCGCACACGCACACGCACACGCACACGCACACGCACACGCACACGCACACACGTGTGTGTGAGACAGATCGCGATCAGGTGGGCCGGTCTCAAGGAAGAGGGCACACGCGTACGTGGCAGTGCCAGGTGCAGCGCGCGACGGGCGTGGGCGGTGTGGCGGTGGTGGGCGGCAAGGGCGCGGCCGGGTCCAGCGGGACGCACTCGAGCACGCCAGCCGAGGCGCGCTGACGAAGAATGTCAGGAATGGACACGCTGGACCCGCGGCCACCAGCGGCCTGGGCCGGGGGGCGGTGAGGGATGCGAATGTCGGCGAACAGGCGCGGGCCTGGGGTGGCGCTACGCCCGGATTGAATCCACCACACGGCAGAGGCCACGTCGGTCGTGGTGCCCGTGGGCACCTCGAGGCTCACCCGCTGCCACACGCCGGCCACGTCGTCCCAGTGCGCTTCATCTTTGCGAAGATGGTCCATCTTCAGTGCTTTGATATATTTGGTGAATAAAATTTTGATTATTGATTGTTTTAATTTTGCTGACGTGGCCCTGACACGTAAGCACTGAAGAAATACGGTGGGAAAAGATTGGAAGTGCAGCGAAGCGAGATCACATCACGATTGCAGACAAGGGGCCATTAGAAAGCCTTGCCTGAGGCGAGGGGAACAGCAGACTAGAGCAATTAGAGTTTGAAAGAAAAAGCAAGAAGCACACAGAGCGATGTTGCCGTCATACACAACGAATCGGTTCAATGGTTCGCGTTCGTACATTCCCGAGTACCTGCGGCGCATAATCCACTACCCCCAGATGGACATTGAGTACACCTTCTGGTTCGTACCCCTTGCCGCAGACCTTCAGCATCTCCTCCTCCTCCTCAATCGAGTAGTGGCATAGCACCAGGCTCACCCTCCCTCCTCAATTCTTCAAAAAACGAATCAACAGGCAAATGTTTTACCTCTGTATCAATCCCGCACGAGTGTACGTACACCTGCAGCTTTCGTCCTCCATTCCATTCTTCCACAAAATCTGCGTAGCGGCAGCGATCGCGAGGAATCTCATTCTCATCTCCCGATGTGCGTGTGCGTGTGCGTGTGCGTGTGCAGCTACCGAACAACGTCGTGGCGCAAACGTACGTGAGGGGTCTCAATGAGAGGCCTCCATCGCGCTGGCTGCTGTACAAGTGCTCAAAGCTCGTCGTGTGCGTGCGGTGTGTGCGGTGTGGGAACACAGAAACGAAGAATCAGTGGGCCAGAGACGATCCCGCATTCATCGCCATCCTGGTGCTGTTCATGGCCGTGGCGGCCATCGCCTACTCGGTCGCCTTCAACGCCTGGAACCCGGTGACCCTCCTCCGCATCATGTTCTGGGCCGCCTTCATCGAGTTCCTCGGCCTCGGCCTCGCCACCGCCACCCTCGGCTGGTTCGCAACACACAACACAACACACACACACACAACACAACACACACACGGCACACACGATGGTTAACATCAGTCGTGTTGTGATGGTGTTCGACATACGACACAGGTTCGTGGCGAACAAGTATCTGCGGGTGCAGTCGCTGCACGCCGTGGACCAGAAGGTGGAGTGGCTCTACGCGTTCGACGTCCACTGCAACTCCTTCTTCCCGCTGTTCGTCGTCCTCTACGTGCTCCAGTTCTTCCTGCTGCCCCTGATCCTCGGCACGGGCTTCTTCTCCACCGTCATCGCCAACTCCATGTACGCCTTCGCCTTCTCCTACTACTTCTACGTCACCTTCCTCGGCTACAACGGTACCTCCACCCCTCTTCTTCTTCTCGTTCTTCTTCGTCGTCGTCGTCGTCGTCGTCGTCGCTGACGTGTGTCGTGTGTTGCGTTGCGTTGCGTGTCGTGTTGCGTGTGCAGTGCTCCCATTCCTGCACCACACGGTGCTGTTCCTGTACCCGATCGGGGCGGTGGGGCTCTTCTACGTGCTCTCGCTCCTCTTCCGCTTCAACTGCTCCGTCTTCGTCATGAACTACTACTTCGGTTGAGCTGCACAGCTGGTGCATCTCACCACACCCGACACCCTACGCACCACCACCACCACCACAACAACAACAACAAGTTGACGACACCGACCAACGCATGTCGAACGCGCGGGAGATAATAAACGATGGCGGCGCGCCGTTTGTTTATTTGTACACAGACACAAGCGGTCTTCGCCACCTTTGCCCCCACATTCTCTTTCTCTTCTTCTTCTCGTTCTTCTTCTTCTTCTCTGTAGTCGGAGAGTTCAATGATCGTCGTCTTCATGTTCGTCATCGTCGTCTCACGAGCCACTATTGTCGATACTTGCTTGCTTGCCCCTCATTCACTCGACGGAGAAGCACCTTCGCTGCCCTCCTTGTCGCCGTCGCCGTCGCCGCCGGTGGAGTTGTCTTGGCTGCCGGCGGTGTCGCGCCTCCGCCTCTTGGCCTGCCGCGGGCTGCCCTCCGCTGCTGCCGGTGTCGGCGCTGCTGCCGCCGTCGGCGTCGTCGGCGTCGGCTGTTCGCCCTCGCCGCCCGCGCAGATCGCTGCTGCCGACGCTGCGTTACGCGACACGACGCGACGCGACACGACACACACCGCACGCACGACGTAGTGTCAGCGACGGTGGTTTGTCGGTGGGAGTTTGTGGTGGGGGATACCGAGTTCAGAGAGCTTTCGTCGGAGGGCGGAGCCGTCGCCTTCGGGCGCGGGCGCGGGCTCGCCGCCGGCCCCGCCGGGGAAGAGGAGTCGCCGCGGCTCCCGTTCTCGCTTGACCGGTCGCACCGGCGAGTTGAGCGTCGCATTGATCGCGTGCAGCTCCTACCGCACACACACCGCAATCAATCGACCGCACACACACGCACACACCACCGCACACACGCACAACCGCACACGCGTACTTTGGTGGAGGGGCTGAGGCCAAAGCTGTAGGTCGATGACGACGACGAGGACGAGGGGTGGGTGAGCGAGCGCGGGCCAGACGACGGGTGCATGGGCGAGAGGTAGACGTTCGACGCCGCGACCCGCACGGGCGACTGGGCCAGCGCGTAGGAACCGGACGACGACGAGACCAGCACCGAGCCCGAGCCAGAGGAGGGGGCACCACCACCGGTGGGGTGCGGGGAGAGGGGCGGCAGCGGCGAGCTGGTCATGGAGGTCGTCGACGAGGGCGCCGCCTGGAACTGGAGCAGGAACGACTCGAGCTGCGGGATGAACACAAAGTTGTAGAACTTGATGATGTCGCCCTTCTCGCCTGCAGCCGCCCATCATGGGTTGTGAGCACGTGTCGTGTGCCGTGTGTGTCGTGTCGTGTGTGGTGCGTGAGTGTCGTGCGGGGGGGGGGTACCGGGCTCGTTGAGGGGCACGGCGCGGTAGACCTCGGCCGCGGGCTTGCGGTGGGGCTGTTTTCGGTAGTGCTCCAGAATGCCTCGGAACGCCACGTCCTTCACCTTGTTCACCCTGCGGCGGCCCCGATACGATGCGTGCGACACACACGACGACGACGGTTGTCCGATCAGTCGCGTTGCGTGTGGCGCGGCGACACACGCACACACACACACACACACCACACACACCACACACGTACCGTGATACGCCGTAGATGACGCACAGGATGATCTGATCCAAATGCCTTCCCCTGCGCACGACACACGTTCAACACCGCACACACGACACACGACACGCAACGCGCGCAACACGACACACGCGAGGGGGGAGGGGTGGTACTTGATGAAGTTGGCGTGGGAGATCAGGAGCTCGATGGTGGCCCGCCACACCTGGTCGAACACCTCCGGGCGGAGGCCGATGGCCGCGCACAGGCTCCAGCACCGCCGGCTGGCCTGCCCCAGCACCTTCCGGTAGAACAGGCACAGCGAGTGCCACGACCCACCCATCCCGCCTCGCCCTGTGTGCCGTTGGTCGTGTCGTGTCGTGTCGTGTCGTGTCGTGTCGTGAGTCGCTCAGCCAGAAGGAAGCGGGCGCGAGGCGGGAAAGGGGGTACCGGGGGTGGCCGGTGCCGTGGGCCGTGCGGGGGAGACGAGCATGTTGGGCGCAGGCGACGGTGGCGAGAGCGCCGACGAGGCCATGAACTCCTTGGCCCCACCCTACACCCTCGCACGCATCAGCACCACGACACGACACGCACGACACACAGCACACGCGCGTGACACACGCGCGGCGAGGCGGCGGGTACCTGGGTGGGGCGCCTGAAGAGGGCGAGGAGGTCGCGGACCTTGGCGGGGTCGGCGAGGAGGGCAAAGACGGGCGAGCCCTCCTGCCACCCGACGCTCTCGAGGATCGTCTCCTCGATGTGGCCCAGATGCCGCGTCACCCCCACCGGCAGCGTTCGCTCGTACCGAATCACCGACTCTACATTGCGTGTGTCGTGTCGCGTCGTGTCGTGTCGCGTGTGCGGTGGTGCGTGTCGTGGCAATGACGTCAATGACACGACATGCAAGGAAAAGAGGAGGAGGGGGAGGGCACGCATAGAGAAAGATATGTACCGATGAGCTTGAAGAAGTCAAAGGCGTGGATGTGGAAGAGGGAGAGGAGCTTGGGGAAGGCCAGGTCGATGATCTTGTAGCAATACGCTATCACCTCAAAACAGCACGCCAGCAACGACCTACGCATTTCGACACGACACACGACACGCACGACACGACACGCACGACACACACACGACTGGTGAGCAACGGTGATGGGTTAAGCTGGCGGGTGAGGTGGGGGCTCCACCTGTGGAAGGAGTCGTGTCGGAGGAGAGTGGAGAAGTCGGAGGAGACGGAGGCGCGCTTGAGGCGCTCCTCCTCGGCCAGGAGCATGGCCTCGAGGATCTTGTAGTACAGCTTGATGCCCAGCTCCCGCCGCTGCTGGCCCTCCTCGCCCTCCCCGAACGGCACCAGCCCCGAGTACTTGGCAACCCGCGCCTCGATCTCCTGTGCGTGTCGCGTCGTGTCGTGTGTGCGCACGCGTGAGCATGTTAACACGACACGCATGGCACGCGCGCGTGCGCACACACGACACGACACGACACGACACGCATAGCACACGGGCGGGGAGGTACCTCGGCGGGATTGTTCTCGCAGGCGGCAAAGAATTTGCGCAGCACGGGGGAGGGCGCGGCCTGGGTGTGTTCGAGGGTGGACTTGAGCCAGGCCACCGCGCTCAGGGCCGCCCGCATCGGCGTTCGCGGCGGCGCGGCGGCCGATCCGCCGGGCGTGGTCGGGTAACCACCGCCGCCCCCCAATGTCGATGATGTCGACACAGACGATGATGACGCGGAGGGAGTGGTCGGCTGGGCGGTGGCGGCGGAGGTGGTGGTCGAGGTCGAGGTGGCGGCCGCCGCCGCAGGCTTGACGACGCCCTTGTCGTAGTCGTAGTAGTGGCCGTAGTTCTCGCCCACGCGGGAGGGCGTGCCCACCTCCTGGGGCGCCGTGAGGAACAGCCGTTCGTCAAAGTCGCCCTGGCTGTGAAACATGATCTCATAGTCTCGCGCTGTAATCACACGACACACACATGTGAGCAGCAGCGGCACACACACACACACACACACACACACAGCAATACGACACGACACGCAACACAAGGAGGGAGGATCGTAATGGTACCCATCATGGTGGACCAACGCTTGAGTGTGGGCCGGTCAAAGGCCAGCGAGTCGCCGGTGGCGCCGAGCACGTTGGAGTCCTTCCAGCTTTGCAGGAACGGCGCAAAGAGATCGGCCTCCAGCCGCACCACCTCTGCTCTCAACCACCCGAATTCCGCGGTTGTTCTTCCCAGTCAGCGACGCACACGTGTGTGCTGTGCGCACACAGCGCGGCGTGTGTGTGTGTGTGTGTCATGGCACGCGGGCGGCGTACCGGCAAGGCTGGCGCCGCTCTGTTTGCAGAGGGCGGCGAGGGCGACCTCTCCGCTCGTTCCGGTCAGCGTGGACTTGGTCTCGGGCGCGGCGTGGGTGGCCACGAATTGGACGCAGCACAGCAACAGGTGGAACGCCGTTATGAGGTCCGGCGGCGACGTCAGCAATTTACCTGCGCACGGCCGCGTCCGTCACGATCAGCTAAGGTAAACGATCAATATAACTAAATTGAATAATTCATCTAACTAAAGTTGATGAATTAAGGATATAACTAAACCTCGATAACTAAACTTGGGTTCTGTGGGCGGTGGTTGTTACCTTTGGCCACCAGGAAGAGCACCCAGCCGAAGGAGAAGAGAGCGTAGTATGGGCTGTCGGGCGAGCTGTGATTATGGGGGCAAACAGATATATCGCAATATTAGTGCACGTGCGACACGACACGACACGACAATAACACACGACACGACACACACGAGAAGTGGTCGAAGGGTGGATTACCCGGGCTGTATGTCGGTTATGCGGAAGACCTGGAAGAACTCCTTCTCGTACTTGCGGTAGAGGATGCAGATGACGCAGAACTTGCGCTCGAGCTGCAGCAGCTGCTCCTCGTACGCCGCGCCCAGCTTGAGATTGGCTATGAAGGCCTTCAGCGGGTCGAAGAAATCCACCAGCCTGAAGCCAGACACAACCGGTGACAAGAACATCAGCCACCATCACACACACGCACACACACGCACACACACGACACACACGACACACACGACACACACGACACCGCTTGTGCCACGACGTGCATGAGAGGATTACCGAATGTGGGTGGCGCGCAGGAGCTGGGTGAGTGAGACGCAGCTGCCGCCAGAGGTCGTGGACGCCGGCGTGCGCTGCTCGGGCATGCCCGCCACGTAGAGAGCACACGCGGCCATGCACAGCACGAACCGCTCCTGATGACGACACACACAAGCGAGAGACATCACGCCATGATAAGTACAACGGCCACGATGGATGATGGCGAGAAATGCGATCCATCGACACTGAGATGCGATGACTCTCGCGAGATGAAGAGGAGAAGAAGAAGTGGATGAGCGGGCGGTATATAGTAGTGTGCGCACCTCATCCTGCTGGCCGGCCTTGAGCGTGAGTCGGCGCAGGAGGGACCAGCCGATTTTGCGCGTCTCTTCATCGAGATTGAGGCTGCGGCAGAGTTCGTCGTATCG